GGCGCCGAGCCTACACACCAATTTCTAATAAGTGGCAAATGGCTTGGCTACATGGTCAAGCGTATGGAAAGAGCAGAGTGGAAGATTAGGAATAAGCAGTTCTGAATAAGAGGCATATGGATGGAACTACAGGAGTGGGCACAAAGCATGTGGATCTCTGTGTCTCTCATCAATGCTCACCAAAGACCTCAGACGAAGCTCTGCAGAGAGAAGTCAGGATGGATCCTGTGGATGTCAGCCAGCTTCTAAAGTGAACCCCCCTAGTGCTTTCCAATAACCTATAAGAGTGTGTCCACAACAGCCAGGATGGGAGTTATAAATGGGCCTGACAATTTGGGCTCCCTCTTCTCAAGGCTGATCTAGCAATTGCCAGCAAATAGCCAATCTGCCCGCAGCAGGTAGCAATATGGCAACATTGCCTAGAGAAAGTAGCCATCCATCTGGTGGCAGGTCAGTTATACCAGGTCCCCTTCCATTTCGCAGAAAGCAATGATTCATTCTTACTGGAATTGCTATGTTCTCCAAATATGAGTTGCATTACTGACTTACGGTGTTTCTGTAAGCACCATCCTCCCAAGGCTTTAAAGAATGCTCGACCCTAGCCGAGCATTGTGGTGGGCTCCTGTATTACCAGCTACTCGGGAGGCTGAGACAAGAGACTCTCCTAAGCCCCGGAGTTGGAGGTTGCTGTGACGCCATGGCACTCTACTGAGGGTGATAAAGTGAGACTCTGTCTCTACAAAAAAGAAAAAAAGAATGCTCAACCCATTACTAGGGGCAGGAGATCCATTTTAAAGCCAAGAATGGTGACGATGGTGACATGAACATGGATTTCACTGGTCTTACCATATGTCCACCATCCAGAAGCAGCCAGCCTGAGAGAACAATGGAACAAATGACTTTATTTCCTAGTTTTTATGGGGTTTAGAAACAGTATATGGTATGTCACAAGACTATTGTGGGGGCAGCCCCTGTGGTTCAAGGAGTAGGACGCCGGCCCCATATACTGGGGGTGGCGGGTTCAAGACCAGCCCCCGCCAAAACTGAAAAAATAAATAAATAAATAAATAAATAAAAAAGCAACAAGACTATTGTGGGATTAGAAAGAGATCATGTACATATAGCACTTTGCATTGGCCCTGGCATGCAGCAAGTGCTTAATAAATGAGGTATTTATTATTAAATAAGGTATTGGTATTAATTGGATTGAATTGTGAAAACCCTCGGGGCCTGGAGGGGAGCTCATGGTCAGGCTTTGCTGAGCCCCGTGGGGCTATGGCTCCTGCTATGTGAAAAAGGCTTTCAATCCTCTTAGCTGTTCCGAAAGTCCACAGCTTGAATTACATGTTTCTGCCAGCAGGCAGCACACAGACGCTTCCACAGAGCAGAGAGAGAAAACAAAACTCAGCAGAGTGAAAGAAATGGAAACTCTGACAGGGATTGGCTGCCTGGGGCGAGATGGGAGGCATCCAAATGTGATTATAAAAAGCCAGCCTGCAGCCCGAGAGCTGTGTACTTGCTGGTGCTCCCATCTATCAGTGGGCTCCAGCAGGAAGATTGCTTCTTCTCTCTCTCCTCCAAGGTAAACCCAGGAGCTGTGAAGTGTGGGTATCAAGCTGTCACCCTCTGCTAGGCTGGCTGCCTGTGAGCTTCATGCTCCAAGAGCCAGGACGCCCATTCCTCAGGGAGGCAGCACCCTTGGGTTCTTTTTAGTGCCCTGGGCTGGGACTAGTCTAAAGGGATGGGTTGGGCTTTTAGGAAGATAGGATACAAAACTCCAAGAGGCATGAGACCCAGCTTATAGGTGCTGCACCAGTTCTCTGTGGCCTTAACTCTTGTGGCCTTAGTTACTTCCTCTGTAAGATGATGATTAAGCTACCTTACCTGCTCAGAGGACCAAATGATTTCTGAAATCCCTTTATTGTAGGATCTAATGTGACAGTGAGTTCACCTTTGCAGACAGATGAAGTGATCTGAAGAGGTTGTTGAAAGGGTGGGCTGGGGCATTGGTCAATTGCAGGTTTAAATTCTGATTTTGCCATTTCTTGGCTGGGTAGCCTTGGGAATATTACTTAATCTCTCTGAGTTTCAGTTTCCTTATCTGTAACACATGGTTGATAACAATGGTAACTTCTTCCTAGGTTTGCTATAGGTACCAATAGACTTTATATCATAAGTGCCAAGTGCTCAGGAGGGTTTTTGGTTTCTTTTTAATTTAAGAAAATAGCATTGATCTGGCAAAGATCACATTAGAGGTGGGTTTGGGGGCATACGTTTTTTCTCATTTTGCAGTATAAAGGAAGAAGCAGGGGTTTTGAATTCCAACAGTCTTGAATGTGTATCTAGGTTGTACAATTTGCTGGGTGACCTTCAGTCACCTCTGTTACCCCTTGTGACACTTTGAAATATGTTTGATCTTTGTTCCCCATTTTCGGGCGTACAACTCCTAAAATCCTTGGAATCTTCAAAGTGATAAGTGTCTTTTGAGTAATAAGTGTCTAAAGAGTTGAGTGATGACTGGCAGCCCTAGGCAGTTTCTGTATCCTTTGTAATATCCTTTACAATAAGCCAGTAAATGTAAGTAAAATGTTTCCCTGAGTTCTCTGAATGGCTGGAACAAATTAATCAAGGAGGGGATTGTGGGAACTCTAGTTTACAGCCAGTCAGAAGGACAGGTAGAACAACCTTGGGCTTTCGACTGGCAGTCTTGGGGACTAAGTCTTCAATCTGTGGGACTTGACAGTATAGTGTCAGAATTGAACTGGAGGACAGAGCTGCTCAGCTCCAAAAAAAACTCCCGGGACCATCTCCACCTCTGGCCCATCCTTGGGTCTAGCGACAAAGCCTGCAGGTGGCGCCACCATGCGGCAGAAAGTGGTATCGCTCTTCTTGTGCTACCTGCTACTCTTCACCTGCGTCGGGGTGGAAGCAGGTAAGGACCCTGGGGGGTGGAAGGAACGTGTGAAAAAGGAATAGTTTTGAGATCCTGCGTAGAGCTACAGAATGTCTGATGTGGAGACCCTGGCGTGCTTCTAAAGTAGAGGAGATGTGACAGTAGTCAGCGCAGGATTGCTATGGCCAGAGCCCGAAATTCAAATTCCTCTACTCTGTTCAATTCCTTCATTCTACCGAAATTTACTGAATGCCCACCTAGGGCTTGGCACCTAAGGAAAAGTCCCCTCCCATCTGTGAGCCTCTCTGAGATGGCTTGTCCCCACCTCTGGGAGCGATCTGGAGCACTAGAAACCGAATAGGGAAACCCATGCCCTCCTCCACTCCACTTTGTCCGCTCTCCCGCAGGGGAAAGCAGAGATTCAGAAAAGAAAAAGAGCTCAGAGGACAGTGACTCCGGGTTCTGGAGAGCCGTGACCTTCATGGCTGTCGGAGGAGGTGAGTCTGGAGGGCAGGGAGCTTGGGAGGTGGGGCATCTGTACCAGGCGCTTACTAACTGCGTCCTCTTCCTCCAGGGCTGGCCGTGGCGGGGCTGCCTGCCCTGGGCTTCACCGGGGCCGGCATCGCGGCCCATTCGGTGGCTGCGTCGCTGATGAGCTGGTCTGCCATCGCGAATGGGGGCGGCGTGCCCGCTGGGGGTCTGGTGGCCACCCTGCAGAGCCTCGGTGAGTGTAGTCCTCTGGTGGAGAGGCTCTTCACTGTTCAGAGCCCTTTTCACAGGCTAACTCAGCTCCGTGGAGTGAATATTCCTATTCAATTAATCATAACATATGGAGAAACCGAGGCACTGAGGAATTAAGTAATTTACTCAAGTTTTTCTACCTAGCGAGGAGTCCAACGAAAGTCAGGATTTGAACCCAGCCAGTGTGATGCCAGAAGCCTCATTTTGAGCCTCTAAGGCCAGGTGCCTCACTGATGGTTTGGCCAAATCACAAGTCTCAGTTCTCTCATCTGTAAATCAGGATGCTCATCCTCCACTTCACATTCTTCGAATCTGCTCAATCTTAGAGACCACAGTGGGCAAAAAATATGGGGGAGCAACCCAAGTCAATCTTGCACCACCCCTGGTCTTGACTTGCACTTTTTTTATTTTTTATTTTTTATTTTTTTTGTGAGACAGAGTGTCACTTTGGTGCCTTTGAGAGAGTGCTATGGCATCCTTCATCGCTCACAGCAACCTCAAACTCTTGGGCTCCAGTGATCCTCTTGCCTCCGTTTTTCATGTTTAATAGACAGGGGCTCTTGCTTTTGGTCAGACTACTCCCAAACGGCTGAGCTCAGGTGATCCTCCTGCCTCAGCTTCCCAGAGTGCGAGGATAACAAACGTGAGCCACTGCACCTGGCCAACTGACTTGCACTTTTTGAACACCGTGAATGGGATAGATACAGAACTCAGAGTAACTTTTCTAAAAAAAAGAAAAAATGATAACAATCACCTTCACTTCTTTCTTTTTTTCTTTCTTCTCCCCCCTACCAACCAGGCCTCCAGAATCTCAGAGAAAACCTACCCTGACAAACTTCCCCTCTGCCTTCCTGAATCTCCATCTTCTCTCAATTCTGAATGGCAGAAGCCCAAAGAACAGCCCAAAAGGAGAGAGCCCTTCTGGAAGGGGCAGGCCACCCCTGCAATGGGAGGTGAAGGGTGTGGGCCAAAAGGCTAGGGAAACCCATGCGCTATACGATGGCTGTCCTCTCACATGTCACAGGGCTGTGACAAAGACAAAATGACCCTTTGCTTATGAACCCCCAGCACACACACAGTGAGAGCTCCCCAAAGATGGCTGTTAACATTATTAATGATATCATGTTTTCATTGCAGACATGAAGTGAATTATTCCTACTTTTTTCATCTCTGAAACACATCTCTTATTTGGCATGACAAGTCACGATGGAAATAGAATTTACTTTTCAGAAGTCCCATCCCCTTTCAAGGGCCTCTGTTTCTCCATCTGGAAATGAGGGGGTTGGACTCCAACAATGGTTTCCAGACACTTGGATTCCCCGACTTGGGGCTTCAGTCCTAACAACCCGTCTGTACTTGCTTTACAGGGGCTGGAGGCAGCAGTGTCCTCATGGGAAAAATTGGTGCCCTTCTGGGCTACACTGCCCACAAGGTCACAGAAAGCACGAAAGAGGAGGAAGAATAGCCAGCAGCTGTCAGGAACTGTCTCCCTCCTTGCCCTCCCTTCCAGGGAGAATCTAACACTTCCTCTGTCACTCTTCCCCCAACGACCTAAATGGGAAAACAGACTACATTTCTCTCAGAAAACACTTTGTCCTTTAACCTTACAAAACCAAACTATGTATCCTAATCGTATGTACCCCCATATTAATCTGAAAAAAAGATAAAAGAAAACACTTTGTCCCCTTGCAAATCACCCTTTGCAATGAGAAGGCCAACAAGATCTGGCCCTGGCCTGCTCCATCCACACACCCCCACTCCCATTTTCCTGTCAAGCCAACCACAGCTCCTGGAATAAAACCAGTTGATTTTGCGTCTGGGCCTTAGCACATGCTGTTCTCTCTGCCTGGGATTCCTTCTGAAGCTTATCTGCCTGAAAGACTCTCTCTCATCCTTGCAAACCCAGCTCAGACATCCCCTCCTCTGGACGCATGCCCAGCACGGCCTCCTGCCACCTGTCACAGCAGGAATGGGCAGGCTCCATTTCTGGAGGTGCTTGAGGAGGGAGAGCTCAGTTTGTTCTCACTGACAGAAGCTTCTGGCTACTTCTCTGATTAGGCAGAGATGGAGAGGCTGTATCTCCATTCTCTCAGGAAGCACTCAAGTGATTACCTCACGTGGAGAATATAAGGCCAGACCCTTGCTCTAGGGAAAGGGGGTAACCTCACTTTTTGAGGGTTCACAAGGCCTCCTTTCCTCACAGGACTCTGGTGACAGGGCGAATGGTTTGCATACAGAGCCCATAGGCCTTCTGAATAGGAAGGGAACGATAACCCAAGCACATAGAAAGCTTTTAGTAAATGTCAGCTATGATTAAGGACTTGCATAGAACAAAGAGGAAATAGCCAAGTGACAACCGGGAATTAGATCATCCAATTTGGGAGTCAGGGTTTGCTCTCTGGGGCTCACAGACCACGTTCTTCCTTTCTTCCAAAAGTGAGAACCATGACTGAACGCCTGTAAGTCAGAATCCTGCCCAGGCAGAACTAAACGGCAGCACCGCAGAACGGCGCTTGGCCTCGTAACGCCGGTCCCCTGCTGTGCCCGCCGGCGGGCCGTCGCGCGCCCCCGCGCGCCTGCGGGTCCCTGCCGCGCGCTGTGGACCAAGGTCTGGCGCGGAGCGCCCCGAGTCTTGGGAAATTGCGAGCGGCTGAAAAGGCAGCCGCCCCCTCGCCCATCATGCAACGGACGTTGGTGGGAACCTGGTGCTAAACCATTCGTAGATGAACTGGTTCTGGGTTGGGGCTTGTACCTAGCAGAGAAACAACCTCGCTGCAATCTATGGAAAGTCAGCCCTGGATACAGGGTTTGTAAAAAAGAAAAGAAAGAAGGAAAGAAAGAAAAGGAGGGAGGGAGGGAGGGAG